TTGCCACAATTCCTCTGGTTTTTGGTCATTGGTGTCAATGCATCAAAGCTGTTCTTTAGATGGTCTCTAAACCCAGGAGGGATGTATTCTAGGTCATATTTTGGCTCTTGTGGACTTAATTATCTTCAACTTCAACTTGAACAAGCATATGAGAAGTTGAGGATCTGTTCCACAATCAGCTCCTGGCCTTGTTTTGGCTAAAGATATTGTGCTTTTGAAGATATTGCCTCTTGACACAGATGTAGTCAGTCTGATTCCTGTGTACTCCGTCTGGTGAGGTCCACATGTATAGCCTCCGTTTGTGTTGTTGAAAAATGGTATTTGCAATGAATAAGTCATTGGTGTTGCAAAATTCTGTTATGAGATCTCCAGCATTAGTTCTGTCACCAATGCTAAATTTTCTAACTACCCGTGATTCTTCTTTGTTTCCAACTTTTGCATTCCAGTCACCAGTGATAATTAACAGATCTTGATTGCACATTCAGACAATTTCAGATTGCAGAGGTTGGTAAAAATCTTCAATTTCTTCATCTTTGGCTTTGGTGGTTGGTGCGTAAATTTGAATAATAGTTGTATTCATTGGTCTTCCTTGTAGGCGTATGGATATTATCCTATGACTAACAGCATTGTACTTCAGGACAGATCTTGAAACATCCTTTGTGATGATGAATGCCATGCCATTCCTCTTCAAATTGTCATTCCTGGCATAGTAGATCATATGGTTGTCTGATTCATAATGGCCCAAACTGGTCCATTTCAGCTCACTAATGCCTAGTATATCAATCTTTATGAGTTTCATTTCATTTTTGTCATTTTCCAATTTTCCTAGATTCATACTTTGTACATTGCATGTTCTGATTATTAATGGATGTTTGCAGGTGTTTCTCCTTGATTTGAGTCATGCCACGTCAGCAAATGGAGGTCTCGAAAGCTTTACTTCATCCATTTCAGTAAGTTTGGTTCTACTCTGATGATACAGCTCTTTCCCAGTCATGTTTTGAGAGCCTTCTGACCTAAGGGGTGTGTTCTCCTGCACTGCATCAGACAATGTTTCTGGGCTATTCATTAAGTTGCACAGTAATGTATCAGACAGTGTTTCTCTGCTATTCATAAGGTTTTTCCTGTCTAATTCTTTGAGAAGTGGATGGCCTCTTCCTTCTTCCTAGTCTTGTCTCACTCTGTAAGCAGCATTGAAACCTGTGCACCATGTGCAACCCTGCTGGCATTTGAAACACTGGTGGCACTGCCTCAAGCCTCACAGCAACATACAAGCCACGACAATACAACAAACTGACAGACAAGTTTGTCTCCCTTATCTGTTCAAAACCTCTGCGCTTCCTGCTTCTTGGGAGTGAGACCTGTGTCCCTCCCCTTGCCTGAGATTCCTGCTGCTATGTCTGGTGTCTCCCAGCTTCTCTTTCCCCAGTTTCCTGCCTCTTGAGGGTGGGGCCTGTGTCCATCCCCTTACCTGAGATCCCTGCCACTCTGTCTGGCATCCCCTGGTTTTATTTAAATATTGTTTTAAATAAGGGAGAGAGGATTAAATTAAAATGAAAACTGACAATCTCTATATATCATACTGGTGGATGACTATGAGTTCATTATCAAAATGTTTTCTTATAGTCCACTAATGAAAATGGTATTATTATAATACTTCTAGTAAACTTTTTGCTATTAAAATAACCAATACTCAATAATAATAGTAAATGATAGTTATTATGTATATTACACAAAAATATCTGAACTAACACAATAAGTGAATATGAAGGAAATGTATATAAATACTTCATTGAAGCTATCTTGCAGTGGAATTTTCTTCATACTAATGTTATCAGATTTTTTCTTTAATGTGTTCATGTATTTTGGATTACTTACAGGATAAATCATAGTATAAACATCTATCACATTTTTATTTAAAACAACTATTTTGTTCTAAATATAGAAAATATTACATTAATTGGAGGTTTAAGAACTTTAGAATACAGGAATGGTTATATTATATTTTATATAGAATAAAATTCTTGTTTACCACAGTTCCAATGGTCTGATTTTAGAGTTATTCCCTCAAATTCTTTAATTTTTGGTTCGTATCCCAATTAAGCCTAAGATTTTACATGTAATGCATTATTACCATCAAGTTCTATTCACCATACTCCCATTTGGTTGTAAACAAAAAACAGATCCTCATCACCAAGACACATTAGTGTTTAAGAGAGATGTTAGCTGAAACCCATATTTTCCCTGGGCTCCTAAATTCATGAGGACAGAGTGACTTTTAGTGGTACCTACCTTCCTGTCCTATATTCTGAGGTTCTATAATGCTGATATATGGGACAATGGAGTTTATTAGAGATGATACAACTGCTGTGTCATAATTGTCAGGTTTTCTCACCCGTGTAACTCTGGGCAAGTTGTTTTACCTTGTGGGCCCTGAATTATTGAGCTTTGAACACTACAGTATGATAAGCATGGAAATAAATACAAAAGAATATAGATACTGTCCTTGAAATATCTGGGAAGACAAACCAAATCCATTAAATTATGTACCAGTATTAAAAAGTGGAAAAACCTTTCAACTCATTGCATGAATGATGAAATAGGGGCAAAGAAATAATAGAATGAATGAACACAGCTAGAATATTAATATAGGAAAGCTTCATAGAGGATATGAGGGAGAGGAATCTATATACCATGGATTAACCAAGATAGTTCTGATTTTTCAAAATCAAGACATGGTTTAAAAGTGACTTGGAATAATTTTCAAAGTTATGAAAACATCTTAGACATAAACAGACACCTTGAGGAAATGAGTTTCTGGGTGTGGACCATAGTCTTTGGGTAATGACACTAAGGTCAATTGGCATAACATAGTCCACAAAGACAGTGTTCTACATCCTACTTAGTGAGTAGTGACTGGGGTCTTAAAAGCTTGTGAACAACCACCTAAAGTGCAACTCTTGATCTCTCCCTGTCTGGAGCAAAGAATGTTGTTGTTATTATGTGCCGTCGAGTCAAACCCGACTCATAGCGACCCCTCCTTGGGTTTCCGAGGCAGTATCACTACGGAAGTAGGATTGCCCAACCTTCCTTCCGAGGAGTGGCTGGTGGGTTTGAACTGCCAGCCGTCTGGTTAGCAGGCAAGTGTCTTAGCCACTATGCTACCGGAGCTAAGAATAGTGAAGAAAATCAAAGATGCAGAAAACAAGTAGTCCAAAGGACTAAAAGAGCACGTGAACCCCAACCCCTGTGACCCTGGGACAAAAAGAACTAGATCATGCCCAGCTGCCACTGCTGACCACTCTGAAAGGGATCACAATAAAGGGTCCTGGATAGAATAGGAGAAAATAGGGAATAAAACTCAAAATCTTAAAAAAAGACTAGGTTTACTTGTCTAATGAAGATTATGGCCTTTAGACACTCTTCAAGCTGAGAACTGAACTAAAACCCCATGACTCAACTGTCCACCAAACAATAGACAGGCCTTTATAAAGGAACAGTGATATCAGGAGGGTATGTACTCATTAGAGCAATCAAGTTATGAAATCAAGAGGATAGCATTTGCTGAAGAATAGACCTTGGAAGGCAGAAGGGGATGGGAAGGAAGAAGGAAAGGAAGGGGTGGTTATAGAGAGGAAGTGGGAAGAATTAAAAGAAAAAATAAAAAATAACTTGGAATAATTATCTCAGGCAGAATAAGATATGTGTGCATGTTTTGTGTATGTGTGTATGTCCCAAGTAATGATAAACTAGTACCTGTTACCAAAACAAAAACAAAAACAAAAAAACCAACCAAACTCACTGACATGGAATTGGCTCCGACTCTTAGCTACCCCTCCTTGGGTTTCTGAGGTGGTATCTCTATGGGAGTAGATTGCCCAGTCTTCCTTCCAAGATATGGCTGGTGGATTTGAACCGCCAGCCTTCTGGTTAGCAGTCAAGTGCCTTAGGCACTACACCACCAGAGCTTCCAAGTACTATAATCAAGATTCAGGTGGTGATGAAGTAGATCATACATCCTTAAAGATAGTCTTCCACTTACTGAAATATACTTTATTTCTATGATATAGAAAATTTCAGCTCTGGTGCCGTATGCCTTGCATTTTAATCATAGCTCCCTCACTTTTCATTGATTTTGGAAAAGTTACTGAATTGCTTTTTTCCTCAGTTTTCCCATCTGTAAAGGGAAGGTAATATTGGTATCAACCTAGAGTATTGTGGAAATTAAATAGGCAAGTTAATACTGTATATGTTAATCATTTAGAAGAATGTCTCTCAGAAAATAATCAGCAGTACTAGCGGTGGTGGTGGTGGTGGTTGTGGTTGTGATGGAGGTGGTGGAATTAGACTAATTCCATAACTTATCAAAACACTTCAACTACTAGCTGAAATGTTGTTGGATTGAGACCACCCAGAGGCTCCTTAGGATACAGGCTGGGCAGTATGCTTTCAAAAGGTCACAGCTTTGAAACTGTGAGGCAGTTCTACTCTACATATATGGGGCCATCATGAGTCAGAATTGACTCAAGAACAACTAATAACATGAAGCTTATCAAAACACTTTCCCAGGTACATTGTTTTGGAGCCCATTTTATTCTTAAAATACTTTTAGGAGGAAGAGGTATAGGCCTTATCCTCTATATTCTAAACAAGAAGAAACAAAAACTCGAGAGAACATATATGACCTTTCCAGGTCCCAAGTCCTGTAAATGGTGGGAGCTGGGCTAGGGCCCCAGACCTCCAACTCCTATCCTGATGAAGTGCTTTTTTGACCATAACACTAAGAAGACCCTTGCCAAGAAGCAGAGCTGTATGGGAAATTGTGATCTAGAGATCAAAGGGGATAATGTGTACTTTCTGAGCCTTCTGTGTTCCAGTAGCTCCTGCCTCCTCTAATAACACATTTCTGCTCTGCCCCAGACTGTTCAGAACAACAACCTTAGCTCTGAGTGTTAAATGATCTTGTTCTACTTTAACATATGTCTGTCTTTGTATCTTTAGGGATGAGGGGAGAATCTTACTTCATTGGCATGAGGAGCCCTGGGCAGCAGGGGCACATCCCAGAAGATGGAGGACTTTTCTTACTCTGCATTGACAGAGACTGGGCTGTTACTCAGTGTTTCGCAGAGGAAGCCTTTCAAGCAATCACTGACTTCAATGACCTTCCCAACTCGTTGTTTGCATGCAACGTCCACCAGTCAGTGTTTGAAGGAGAAGAGAGTAAGGTAAGAAGCCTTTTCTGCTCCTACAACATGGGGAGAAGTGGCGACATCTCAAAAATATCTCCATTGCTAATTTGTGGTTGGTGTTTTGAAGGTTTTGAGAATGTTTTCGTTGTCTTTATTCTTGATATGCACAGGATGAGAAAAGAACTCAAAACTCCCTGCTGTTGAGTCAAATCCGACACATAGTGACCCCTCCTTGGGTTTCCAAGGCGGTATCTTTAAGGAAGTAGGTTGCCGACAGTCTTCCTTCTGAGGAGTGGCTGGTGTGTTTGAACCACCAGCCTTCTGGTGAGCAGTTAAATGACTTAGGCACTACACCACCAGAGCTTCCAGGAGGATGAGAAGAGCCTGTTGTATTGTCGCTAACATTGGAAGTATACATGAAAAGTTTGTAGATGACATTTTGTTTAATCCATTCTGGTCCTCGGTGACTCGTAGGTCTATCTAAGAAAAACAAGTACTGTTATGAATATAGATTTCAGGAGATACCCCTTGGGCTAGGAAACAGATGTCTTAAACTCTTAAAAGTCTTATTTTCCCTTATTCTGCCAAAAATGTAGTTTACCTTTCTCCAAACAGCACAAGTGTTCTTTTCCTCCTACCTGCAGTTTGATTAATGTTTTAAAAATAGCATCTTAAATTGTGACCCAAGTCCTACAGCAGTTCCTGGAAAAGATAAGTTGCTTGGTCATCTGAGTACTGCTTTGCTCACTGAAACCATGGTAGGTAGTATTGCTATGTGTGTGTTGGAATTTGAAAGACAGTAGTAGTTTCTTGATTTGAAATTACTGGCGATGAGGTTATCTTTATACAAGTATTTTCCAGAAAATGAAGCTTCCAATTTTAAGAGACAAACTTGACTTAAGTATCTTAAAAATCAAAGTAAATATTACATTTGGAGATCTTTTTAAAGTTTATTCCAGATTTCTTTGACATTTTAATTGATGGATCTGAATTATAAAACATTTCCCTGTGGATGTAGATTCATAGTTATAAATACTCATTATCTTACCATTTTGTAAAACATGGGCAGTATTTTTAGGGGGAGGAGCCTTTTTTCTAAGCTGTAGTCTGTGGTTCTATTCGAGATTGAGGGTAGGATTTAATGATCACTGTTTCACAAACTCATGCTTATTTTGCCAATTGCTGAAGTTCAAACTCTGGTGTTTGAGTAAGATTACTGGAAGGCTACTGGATTTATTGATCTTGTAAGCAATCCTGGTAGCCACTGAGAAAACTATCCGAGAGATTTAGGAATTACTTCAAGCCATTTAAAGATATTTTTATAATGCTATTGTTTTAGAGTTGAACAATTGAAATGATGGGCTGAAAATAGCTTGAAATCCAAGGAAGTATACATGATGAGAGCCTCTAGTGCTCTGATCACCAGACTATTTGAAGTAAGAAAATGACACATGATTACTTTGAAAGAAACTGGGAATTTTATTCTTTGGTTATAACTAGGTTATAAAACAGATTTTAATTTGATTAGGACAAGTAATTTCCCATAAAATATACTTGACATCAACTATGAATTAAGGTTCATGTTTTCCTATTGTCCTCTATTTATCCAAATAATTAAATGGATTTTCCTTTGAGGTTTAATTGGGGGTTTTGATTATTTCCTACTTAGATACTTCTCAGTAGACTGAAACATTAAAACCTAGGAAATTGCCAGTCTCATTTGAGGGTGCTGCTCAAGAATGGCTGATCATTCAACCAGAATTAGGTACATAGAATAAAAGAAGCCTGGGGAGAATTCACAGAAGGGTGTCCACACCTGTTTTGATTTTCTGATCTGTGACTGAATTAAAACAAAACAAAACAAAAAAACACTGCTGTCAAGTTGATTCTGACTCATAGCGACCCTGTAGTGGACTCCATAGAACTGTCCTATAGGGTTTCCAAGGAAGTAATCTTTACAGAAGCAGACTGCTCTATCTTTCTCCCGCTGAGTGACTGGTGGATTCGAACAACCAACCTTTTGGTTAGCAGCTGAGCACTCAACCACTGTGCCACCAGGGCTCCTTCTCTGGTTGTGTAATGGATTACAAATTATTCTAAATTTATGTACAAAGTTGGGGCATAGCAGCTTGAAAAAGTCATGTTTGTTGTTGTGTTTGTCATCAAGTTGGATCTGACTCATAGTGACCCTATCTTGGGTTTCTGAGGCAGTATCACTATAGAAGTAGATTGCCCAACCTTCCTTCCAAGGAGTGGCTAAAAAGTCATAGATTTTGAAATAAAGTTAATCAAATGCTAAGTAGAAACTCTGGTAGCATAGTGCCTAAGGCACTTGACTGCTAACCAGAAGCCTGGCAGTTCAAACCCACCAGCCACTCCTCAGAAGGAAGTTTGGGCAATCTACTTCCATAGTGATACCACCTTGGAAACCCAAGGAGGGGTCACTATGAGTCGGGGCCGACTTGATGGCGCATAACAACAACCAATAACAAAGTAGACACAAGATGTAGTCCAATGGAACCAGTTTCAAATTATGTAGATTATTGATTTATAGCTAGAGGGAAACCCTGGTGATGCAGTAGTTAAGCACTCAGCTGCTAACAAAAAGGTCAGGGGTTCAAGCCCATCCCTCTGTGGGAGAGAGTGTGGCAGTCTACTTCTGTAAAGATTACATTCTTAGAAACCCTATGAGGCAGTATGATTTGTCCTATAGGATCACTACAAATCAGAATTGACTCAAAGGGCAGTGGTGGGTTAGGTTTCTGGAGTTTATAACTAAGGAAGATAAATTTTATAACTCACCAATATCTGCATAATTAAATATATCAAATTGCCAGGAAGTCTTTCACCTTGCTGTGATTTTTAAAGCTCCCATTTGAACAGAGTTTCTAGAACATTCAAAAATCTGATCTAGATCCAGTTTTGATTTAATTATATATACACAGTTCAAGGTCAAGGAAGCAAGGGAATCAGGTACCAGTTGAGTTGGCAGTAGACAGGAGGCAGGATGACTGGGGCTCTAGAGAAAGTAGAAAAAGTGTTCGGAGAGCCTGATGGCTCTTCATTTTCACTGCCACATAGTTTTCTTCAAGAGCTTTATAGCCTTCGTTCTGAGTGCAATTTTTTTTCACTATTATATCAATCAGAATTCTTGAGAGAAACAGAACCAAAAGGATGTCTATACATGAATACGTATATACATATACGTATAAAAAACCTGGGGTAATCTACTTCCATAGTGATACTGCCTTGGAAACCCAAGGAGGGGATGCTATGAGTTGGGTCTGACTTGATGGCACATAACAACAACAACATAAAAAACCTGTTGCTCTCAAGTTGATTCTGACTCATAGCAAACCTATAGGACAGAGTCAAACATCCCATGGGGTTTTCTAGGCTGTACTTTTTTATAGGAGAATATCCCTATCTCCTGTGGAGCCACTGCTTTGAACAGCCAACCTTTTAGGTAGCAGCTAAGTGCTAGTATGTGTGCATATGTGTGTGTGTGTATACATATACATATATACATAACACACACACACACATATATATACACACACACACACACACATATACATACACAGATAGATAGAGAGAGAGATATGTAGGAGCCCTAGTAGTACAGTGGTTATAAATGCATGGCTGCTAACCGAAAGGTTGGTCATTCAAACTCACCAGCCACTCTGCAGAAGAAAGATATGGTAGTTTGCTTTGGTAAAGATTACAGCCTTAGAAACCCTGTGGGATGGTTCTAGTTTGTCCTAAAGTCTTGCTATGTTGTTAGGTGTCATCATACATGTGTGTGTTTGTCTGTGTGTGTGTGTGTGTGTGTATAAAGAGATTGATCGATTGATTGATTGACTGACTGATTTTAAGAAATTGCAGTTGTGGAGGCTGCCAAATCCAAAATCTGTAGGATAGGCCTGCGGGCTGGAAATTTAGATTGGAGTTCATGTTGTAGTCTTTTTTTTAATTGTGATTTGTGTGAAAATTTACAGAGCAAATTCACTTTCCATACAGCAGTTCACATATACTTTGTCTCATGACATTGACTATAATTTACCCCAATGCAACAGTTCCCCTCCCACGTCCTCCCCATAGCTACCTCTTCCCTGTGTCCATCCCTCCATGTACTCCTGCCTCCTGAGCTGTCTCCCTGTGCATAAACAGCCTTTCTTTCTCCCATGATTGTTCTCTACAAGGAGTGTATTTACCTCAGGTAAATGTTCAACTCATATGCCTAGTTTGTTTAGCTGGAAGCCACAGGTGTAGGTTCAATTCCAGACCTGAAGGGCAGCTAGGGACCATAGTCTAAGTGGTTCCACCAGGCTCTATCAGACCAGCAAACCTGGTCCCCCTTTTGTTTCCCCCAAATGATTTTGAGTTTTGTTCCACATTGTTCTCCCTCTCTATACAGGATCTCCTATGTAGATCCCTCTCTGAGTGGTCGACAGTGGTAGCCAGGCACCATCTAGTTTTTCTGATCTTATAGTTGTATAGGCTGAGGATTGCTTGGTATACCAGTCGTGAGGACTAATTGTTTCCATGAATCTTTGGTTTTCTTCATTCTTCTTTGCTCTGGATGAGGGAAAGACCCATCGTTGCATGTAGATGGCTGCTTGCAAGCTTTTAAGATCCCAGTTGCTACTTGCCAAAGTAGGAGGTGGAACCATGTTTTGTGTAGTATGTTATGCCAATTGAGCTTGATGTCCCCTGCGACTATGGTCCCGAGCCTACAGGATGCTATGATCTTAAGCCCAAAATCTGTAGGGCAGGCTAGCAGCCTGAAAATTCAGAGGATTTCTATGTTATAGTTTTAAGGCATAATTCCTTGCTTCTTTGAGTAATCTGTTTTTGCTCTTAAAGACTTCAAGTGATTGGATGAATCCTTAGCACATTAAGGAGAGTAATCTGTGTTAATTGAAATCAAACGATTGTAAATATTAACCACCTCTAAATACCTTCATGGCAACATCTAGACTAGATGTTGACCAAACAACTGGATGCTGTGGTCTAACCAAGTTGACACATTAATT